CCCATGGTTGGGGGGGGGGAGCAGGGCAGTGCACCTTGACAGGAAACATAGAGGTGAAGAGCAGGAGTTGGAGGTTAGTTTGACAGAGAGAAAAGAAGTGGTGGTGGTGGTGAGGAAGGGGGGGGGGGTGGCTGCGGAAGTGCCAAGCCCACTTTTAACTGAACCGAGGGTGGTGAGTGGTGGAGGGGTGAGGCAGGGGGGGGGGTGTGAGACAAAGATAGAGATCAGGGGAATATAAAAGGGGTGTGCAGGGCGGAAGGAAGAGGGGAGGAAGGAGAGGATGGGTGAGAGGAGAATGAGGGGGGGTGCAGGGACCTACTGCACCTTGACACTAGCTCTCACCACAGCACCTGATAAGTGCAATGGAAAAACGTCTGGTTTCCTCCTGCATGTTAAGTGGTTTATATTCTCCTCCCTCATGCAGCCTGTAGCTACAGTCTGCTACTGTACTGACGCTACACCCAGGTAATAACAGACAATAGGAAATGACAGAAAAAAACAAAGAAAGAGACAAAAAATAGCACATGTTGTCTCCTTTTGTGCAGTTTTTTTGTTCTTTTTTTATTTTGTATCAGTGTGAGATATGGTGCAGGGAAAAAAACAACTAAAGCTATTTAGAAATGTCCCTCCCTTAATGTCTATCTGTCATTTTTACCATATCCCATTTCATTTAAAAAACAATTTCTGCATGGAGATTTAGATGCAGCATTTTATTTGCTCAACAGAGGATCAGATGAAAGTGGATATATATCTTTACTACCTTGTGCATTTACTGACAAGGAACTCATTCCCATGATTTGTAAGTAGGTCTCTCCACAGAACAGCATTAACAATATTCACTTTAGATAACTTATGACTCCAGGCCCCTAGGAGAGGATGGGTTTCTTAGAAATGCTTTGTTAGCACTCTCCCCCTTGATGAAAGATTGAGGACATATGGTCTGAGACATCAATACAATCTCTGTTGTAATTAAAAAAAGGTGCGCACTAACAATATTACACAGCTTTCACTTTGTCTGTCCCTCCCTCTCTTTCACTCCCTCTCTGTCTCCCCCACTCTCACTCACTCACTCACCCACTCTTCCTCTCATTGAGCCCCGGAGCAGAAAAGAGATAATTTAAAAAGCACTTGCATGGAGTGAAACATGAAAAAGAGAGACATATGAAATTAAATTCTCTCTTTTCGCTCTATTGTTCTTTCATTTTCTCCCCTTTGTTACATAAATGCATAAAAGCAAAGCAAGCTAGATTCTAATTATGATTTTCAGAATACTAAAAGATTTTCTTTTATTAAAAATGAAAGAAAGGTGTCACAAACAAAGCAGACTTACTGTTCCAGCACTTTGTCAAAGTCAAAGTACTGCAAGTTCCGCATCACCTAACTTCAATAAACTATTTTTTTTCTCCTTTTTTCCCCCATAGTTAACATTTACGTATATGTGAAATAAAAGTTTTTGTAATGAGCCTTTGATGCCTCAATACAGCTGCTTTACAACAAAGAAGAAGAAATAAAGGGAAAATCACTATTTGTACAAAATCTAAATATTCCCCTCATATATTTTAAACCTAAAACAGGTCAGCAGCAGAAGCAGATGCATGCCTTTGTTCTCTCTCAGCGCCAATACAGTCAGTTGGTCGGCCTATCAGCTGCAGCGAAATGCTTCTGTGAGTAGCCACAGAAACCACCCAGTCAGATGGGTCCTTTACTGGGAGGCCTGCAGTGCCCATGTGAGGCTTTGAGGATGGGGGACTGAGCAGGTCTATCATGGTGGGCATAGAAGGAGCCCGTGGGTTGAGTAATAGCGAGATGATGGCTTAAAGGATGAGGGACAAAGGTGGTGGTAGTTGAGGAAGATGATGCGTTGTATTGTTTCTTGACCATGTCCAAGTCTGTCCCCAGTCCAGATGTTTATAATGTTTTTATGCTGAGACTATCTATCACAGGAACAACAACCCCATTAGAATCCAATTGTCCCAAACTTTAGAACTTTAAAAATCAAGGTAGGTAAGGAGAACATGTAGGGGTGAGAGGTGGGGTGGGGGGGG